TAATTGTTTTTTTTTTTTTCGAACAGCATCTTGATGAACTTGGATATTTTTATAGCATCAAGATATTATTATTTCCTGTTTCATTTCAATTTTACGTTTCGTGTTTTTTTCTTAGTTTTTATCCATTTTTATTTCAGTTTTAGTTTTAGTTATTTTAATAGATCAAGTTAAACTAAACCGAAATGTTCCTTTGGCTACTAGCTGAAATAAAAGTTTTTATGAATTCATTTAAGTTAACTAAAAATATACAACTGATTTTTTTTTTTTTGCCTAATTGTTCTAGTATGTGTACTAGTAAACACACATTGTAATACACCAACAATTCATTGATAATTGTATTTTTTTTTTTCGAACAGCATCTTGATGAACTTTTTATAGCATCAAGATATTATTATTTCCTGTTTCATTTCAATTTTACATTTTGTTGTGTTTTTTTCTTAGTTTTTATCAATTTTTATTTCAGTTTTAGTATTAGTTATTTTTATAGATCAAGTTAAACTAAACCGAAATGTTCCTTTGGCTACTAGCTGAAATAAAAGTTTTTATGAATTCATTTAAGTTAACTAAAAATATAAAACTGATTTTTTTTTTGCCTTATGGTTCTAGTAAAGACATTTGTTCTTTTCCCCCCTTTTTTCATTTTCTGTTTATCCCCATTTTCTTTTTCAATTTTAATTTTAGTTCAATTTTTAGCAAATTTGTTGTGTGCTTTTGTCATTTTTCTTAGTTATTGTTTTTTTGATGTCTAAATAATTTGTATTACTTTTATTTCAATTTTAGTTTAGTTATTTAGTAATCAAGTTATATTACACAAAAAGTAATGCTGTTTTGGCAACTATCTGAAATAAAATGTTTTACACTTCAGTTAACTAAAAATATAATAATTCTGGCCTAAGGGTTCTATAAACACATATCATATTCTTTGATAAACATATTTATTTGTTGTCTGAACTGCTGAACTGAAATGAAAGGTTACGAGCAGTAACAGATATCTGGTGTTGCCACACTTTCTGTAACTGACTGAACGAACGTATCCTGGCCTGCAGCTAAAACGATAACCAATGTAATTATAGGGAGTATTTATATAAGAGCTGGTTGCTCAGGTGAATCTGAATTAGATCCAGATATTTGAGCTCATTTCTGCTTTGTGGTTTTAATGTGTGCAGGTGCGATTTCAACGACATCGATTCACAATCCCAAACCATGAACGGCACGTCTTGATGCTTCATATTTGAATGTACGTGAATGCAAAAGAGATTTAAGAACTACAGCAAAGGGAAGATTTCAGCACAAATGATTTAAATTGTCTTCAATGGAAAAAAGTAAATTGATTTGGAATGACATCAGAATTAATTAACAAAGGCAGAATTTTTATAAAAATTCAAATTATTTTTTTATTGAATTTTTTTGTTTTATTTAATTTTAAATATTGAATTATTATTTTTTTTTTTTTCATTTTTTG